TTTACAGGAGAATAAAGGCAGAGACCAGCCTTTATACTATCGGGTGTGGGAAATTTACTCTTTAAAGTATTCAACAATAAGTCATTGCTACAGGTAGACCCATTTACAGGAAAGAGAAGTAGGGGTCAAAGGGGTTAAGTAATCAAATAACTTGTTAGAGGTTACGCCGGATGGGAAAAAACTTCTGACATATAAAGCAGAAGTCCTATTGGTGTTCACTCCCACTGCTAAAAGCTAGAACAAGGAAATTGATTTTACCTATCAGACTTCTTGAAGAGTCTGAGGAAAGTTTAGGATGATGGAAACATCTACCTTAAAAAGGTAGCCTAACATGGGCCCTCCCTGGTGGTGCAGCAGGTTAAAGCACAGCACTAAGAAGCTGAAGTCACTTCAGCATGAGTTCTATCCCCACACTAGAGGTGACCCACATGTGATGCAGACCTTTCCTGAACCATACCTCTCCTGGCCCACCTACTGCCCCCCTCAGCAGTGTACTTTGTCAGTTGGCCTGTTCTGCTCCCCACTATGTTCTGGTAAATCCTCTCACCACCCCTGCACCTCTGGCCTGTACCCCAGTTCTGTATGCATAAATACATAAATCTTTCTTAAAAAAAAGGTAGCCTAATTCAATAAGAAAGCATCAGTAATAGTGCCATAACATAAGATATTCTTAACCAGCTAATTCTTTCCTAATGTAATTAACAATAACAAGCAATACTTACGTATGTGTGGTATGCACTAGATGCTATAAACATGTTGATTTAATTCTCATAATATACACTTAATTTTTCACCAAAACTCTATGAAGTAAGTGCTATTATAACCACCATTTGGTAGAAGGGAAATTATGGGGCAGATTGAGAAATTTACCAAGAGTTACAGCCAGCCATCTGTAAGTGGCAAATTTAGGGCTCCAATCCAGGTGGTCTGGCTTTACGCCTGTTATCTCAGCACTGGAGCCCTGCTTCCTACTCATATGTTTAACAAGTTCATGCCACCAGTAATTTCTGTGTACTTATTAGATCCTAAAATGTATTATGTCCTATGTAAATAAATCAGATAAATGTCATGAAAGAACACATGTAGAAAATATTACCTTATTCAGGACTTTACTAAAGATAAACATAAACAGATTGAAAAAAAATCATAATAATGAATTCGGTATATATGTAAATGTTTCATAATTCACAGATTATAGGGAAGTGATTGAACTTGAATCACAAGCTCTAGCTTCAAAATTTAGAGAAAAAAGAAATAGCTCTGTAGAAGCAGAACAAAAAGGAAGGCATCATCTCCCTAATATAACAAGAGCATAAAGGATTCTTGAATGGCAATCCATGGACTTCAGGACAAAAAAGCCAAATTGGTTTAATGATGTCTGTTCTTTTACTTTTACCTACAATATAAAATGCCCCTAATGACTTCTCTTAACATATATCATGGATAATTCATTTTTGTGCAGGGTTATACTGTAAGAAAGAACCACAGCAAGAAAAGTCACAGTATTTTTTTTTCCCTTACATACTTAAAGTCTGACCATGTCAGGTATTATGCCAATCACCTTACAAGCATTTATTCAATCTCAACAGCTACCTACCTCTAAGATAATGTTATGAATTCTAGATTACATATGACAAAACAGACAAAAGAAGGTCACACAATATATCAAATATATACTTGATGAAGCAAGGATTCAATCCAAACAGACTGACTCTGGTGTTCACACAACCTCACAGCTGGAAGCCTCATACAGGCCACTCTTTTTCTTTCTGTCTGCAGGATTTCATGTAATTATCCCCTTAAACTACACCACACCTCATCCTTTCTTCTTTTCCTACCTAAGCACATCACTGCTCTTTTAATTTATTCTCTGTCTACTCTACTAGCCTCCTTGCATTCCAGCATGAGTCTCCAGCACCAAAATGCATTAAAGGTTTCTAGTTAGCAAACTCCTGGTTAAAGAGGTCACTTGGAACTGAGGCTCAGATTTTTTTTTTTTTTTTAAAGGCACTGATTCCCATCAGTGAAACTTCTGGTTACTAAGCTTTTAGTTTTATGAAAGACAAAGATAGCCTATTTCTTTATTCTTTTCATTTCTTCCACAGCAGGTTCTTGGTTAATAAATTAGAGGAGATATTGCTGAATTTCAAACCTTGGGACAATACAAAAAGCTAGATGCCTGAAGATAATGCATATTAGTTAGACAGTTAGTTAGCACAGTGGTTCCAAGCTTAAGTATGCATTGGAATTACTAAGAAGGCTTATCAAAATGTAAACTTCACCCCTAGAGTTCCTTCATCAGTAGTTAAGGATAGATGAAAGCATCTGCATTTTTGACGAGATTCCAGAGTGCAGCTAGTCTAGCAACATTTATGAAAACTGGTGAATTATAACACTGATATCAAAGTATTCACATAATTTCATTTCTATTCAAAACTGACTTACCTTGGGAAGTTCCAGATATTGCACATTCTTAAACAAATTGAGGTCCACAGGTGCATCAGAAGTAGGAATACTTGGTTCAGCCTGACAGAGGGAAGAAAATGGCAAAATAAACAACTTACTATTATGCATTTTTATTTAAAAAATAGGTAATCAAAATCATTTCACATGTTGTATAATATCACATTATCATGTTAACATTTTATGCCATCTATGAACATTATATTCACATTCACAAACTGATATGTTTTGATTCGATAACAATTAATTTTGGAACACAGAGATGCAAAATGGTTCTCATGTCCAGGAAGATTTACCCTATAATGAAATCTACTAGCAACCCTGTTCCAGGTGGTGAAACTCAACTGAAACACACACACACACCAGCAGGATAACACTTACTTTTCTTAGTGTGTTAAACTTAGGAGCTACTAAATATTTCACCTGGAGGTTACCATTAAATTCCATCTTCTTAATGGGAATACTTAGTACAATTCATATGGAAAAAAAAAAGTTTCTGCTTTATAACCTGGAAATCTTGAAAACTCACTTGATTTAGAGGATTCTAAAAAGTTAAAATGAGACAATGATTTGTAAATCTACCTACGTATGGATAAACCTAACATTCATGTAACCATTTGGGGAAGAACATTTCTATTCGTTTACTTTTTCCTACATGTCTCTTCTAATTTTAAGCTTTTCACTCTTACTACTTCCTTTTATTTATTTTATTTTTTTTTAAAGATTTATTTATTCATATAGAACTGGGGTACAGGCCAGAGATGTGGAGGGTGAGAGGAGTCACCAGAGACAGAGTGGGGAGCAGAACAGGCAGATCGACAAAGTACACTGCTGAGGGGAGCAGTGGGCGGGTCAGGAGAGGTCTGCTGCGCCATGTGGACTCCTCCGGGGCAGGCAGGAATTGAACTCATTGCGGAAGTGGCTTAAGCTTCTCAGTGCAGTGCTTTAACCCGCTGCGCCACCAGGGAGGGCCCCTTTTATTTATTTTAAGTACACATTCAAGGCTTTTCCAAATAAAACCTCCGCAAAGTCTCATATTTTTTCATGCTCTCTAGACACTGCCTTCTCTTTCTTAATGTCTTATCTGCAATTTGCTTCTATTAAACTTCTAATTGCCAGATCCAATGAACTCCTTTCATTTATCCTCTTACTTGACCTCTCTGCAGCATTTCAGGTTGAAAAATTTACCCCTCTTGAAAAGCATACTTCCGCAATTGCTCTGCAACACACCAATTGGTTCTTCTTCACCATCCCTGTCGGTTCTGTGTTGGCTTCCTCCTAAATGTTAGCATTACATAAATCTCACCTGGGTCCTCTGTAAAAGTCTCAGCTCCTATGGCTAACAAATGCCTTACAGTCATCCCTAGGACATCATTTCTAAACTCGAGACTATATGTCCCAAGCTTCTACCAAGCTTGCATTCATTCTTAAACTGCCACAAACAGAGTAGTTTTTATTTTTATAAGTATCTGTTCCACTTTTTTTTTTTCCTACTTTGCTAAAAGTAAATCATCCATCAAGGTTATCAGGTCAAACATCTCAAAGCCTTACAAGCCCTGTCACTTTTATCCATCACTCTTTTTTCTAGTTCAAAGAAAAGAATCTGGTATAAGGCAGACAAGTATTTATAAGTAAATTATAAATCACTATTTTCCTTAATCAGTACATTTATTTGGGGGAATGACATGATATCAAATTGAGTCCTAAACACTGGATGGAACAATTTCTTGTTTTGTTTTGCATCAGTTCATGCCTTTGTTCTCTTTCTCTTGAACTACTCAAATAATTTCTTCCTTCTTTCTCTGCTGCAACCGCTGATTTTCCTCTGCACTATTTCCAGACTCACACAGGGGAAGAACCAGAGAAGTCAGAGGCCTCCTTACCTGTGAGTCTCCAAAGACGTTTTAAAAATATAATTCATATCCCTTGAGTCCTCTACTTCTTCAAAGACTATATAAGAATCATCTTTTTTCAAGATTTTACCCTGTCTCCTTTCTCAGTGGCTTCTTCTCATTGATTTCCTATTCCCTGCCTCCCATTCAGAAATGCTCTGCAATTTTCAGTTTTCTCTTTGCCTGAACTTCATGCTATTCCTCAATTCTGTTTGTCACCTGCAAAATTTCTGTTCCATAAATATTCTATTTCAAAAATATACTTCCTGTGTAAACTCCTCTATCAAGTTTTATTCTCACCTTCTTTCCAGAGACAGAAATGACAACTCCTCTTCTACCCTCATTCTCTGTGCAGAATCTGCTAGTCACCTTACTGTAAGTGGTGGTGCTTATTTATGTGTCTCTTATATTAAGCCCTAAGCTACTTTGGGTCCAACTTATTAACCATTGATATCTCTGTTAAAATCCCATAACTACTAACTGAAAAAAAGGAACTAAATTAGCAACTGGTAAAATAATCAAATCCTACCAGAGAAACAAATTCAAACTATATACCTCCTTATTTTGAAGATTCTCTGAGGGAGAAGGCAAAGGTTCGACTGAATTTCCAGGACATACAGCCATCTGACTCACTGCATCTTTATTTCTAAAAGAAAAGGCAGAGACAAACCATAATTATTTCTATCATTTTCAATCTTTTATAAATTCAAGAGTCAGAAAGATTATCAGAGAAATTCCATATCCCCAAAGATCAAGAATTACAACACTTATACATTTGTTTTCATTTAAAAGAACATAGAATTGAAAGGCTAATAAAAAGTATTAAGCTAAATCATATGATGAAAATGCTCACCTGATGAAAATTATTTTTACTTTAGAAGGGGCACATTTAATAATTGATGAAGCATTCTGATGACTTCTTCCATATAAAATTTGACCATTGATCTGTGAAAAATAAACATTTTCCATTGAGCCTGGAACTCTCATTTCATAAATTTTTATTACATCAATTATAGAAAAGCTCATTTATTCTCCCAGCATGAACTTGACTTTCATAGTAAATAAAGAAAAACTCAAGTTTATAGCAACTCCAAAACTATAGGCATGTAGTCTTGATGCCCATGAACTGCTGAAGAAGAAGTACCACTTGATGACGGTAGCAAAGTAGAGAGGAATCTTCTGGCAAGAATTGGGCTTCCAGTATGCTCTGAACAAAGCAAGGGAGCAGTGGAAGTACTTTGTGACCTGCAGAGATATCTTGAGAAATTGTCATAATTCCCTCATTAATTTTAAAAGTTCAACTCCTGAAATTTGGTTACTGGCAGATTTAACTTTGGCAGCAGAATGTGTTTGTTCAAAATAGAATATAAAGGAAACTGTCATACATCCAATCATTTTAGCCATCAATGAATGATACTCCCAGCCAAGAAAGAAATTCATTAGGAATGCAGAAGTGTATTAAGACAGTAGAAAGTTGTGGAGCTCAGCCTTCAGGAGGCAAAGATAAACAAAACCAGCAACTACAATTCCTAACACTATAAAGTATGACCTACAAATCGGTTTGGTAGACTGCATGAGTTACCGCTTTTGTAATTAGCCTTCATCTTGACCCTGTCTGCCACCCTCATCATTTACACCATTAGGAATTCAACTTCCAGAATGTCCAGTGAGTCCGTATCATTACTATGGTGTGATTGGTCATTTGGCTCTTCAAAAGCCAAATGCAGCACACAAATGTTTCTAATAAAAATGCAGCACACAAATGTTTTCGAAATGTGATTTTATTACTGTCTTGGGGCCAAAATTGTTTCTGGCACTACACAGTCGTGACCTTTTAATGGAAGTTAATGGGAACATGGACTCTACTCAGTAGAGATCTGGCTTAGAGTCAAATTTACTACAATCTATTATATTAGGCAAATGATAGTTTTCTTAGACATCATGAGGCCCAGACAGATTTTCTTGAAACTGATGGTTCCATTTCACCAGAATAAATTCAGAAATTTCCAGAAGAACTTACTTCTAGAAGCTCATCTGCAATCTGTAATCGACCGTCTTTTCCAGCTGCTCCATTAGGATCAATACCCACTATAAAGACACTCATCCTGGATCGGTCTTTGTTCCCAGCAAGGCTCAGGCCCAAGCCACTCCGACCTTTTTCCAGTTCAATCATATGCAGCTCGCCTGTTAGGGTTCCATAACGCTCTCTGATATTTTCTACACATAATAACAATTAAATAATTGGTACTGAGGGTTAATTCAGTCAAATAACTATGAAGGTTATTAAGTTTTATAGCAAAATGATATTATTAGTACCAAGAAGAATTCCTTGGTGACTAAGAAAAACTAGACTTTTGTTACTTTAACCATCTGAGCAGTAAGATTGGTTCTCTGAAATACCAACCTTTGAGAGATTTTTTTGTATTTTTTGTGTGCAGTATCTGAATAGTCAGTTCACCTGAGCTGATCAGGCCTAAGAGAAGTGATTAGCAAATGCTTAAAAAAAATTAATTGAATCAGAATGTTACTTTATCATTTGCATATACAAGAAAAGCCAGTATATGAAGCTTTTCTCCCATAGGATTATTCTCCTCTCATATCACATCACATTGGGCAATTTCTTTATAAATATAACCAAATTAAAAGAGATTTTCTTATCTCACTGAATCACCAGGCCAAGTTATTCAATGTACTTGGCCCAGCTTTCAGACACAAATCTAATAAGATGAGACCTTTCATATTTCCCACCTCAAATGTTCAAAAGGTAATGTTTATTCTTAATCTAAAGTTAAGAATACATGTAGGTGGCCCAGGTAATGGGTGCAGACAAACAATGAGGCAGAAGCCAGCCCTAACTGCCATTTTGGAGACTACCTGCCAGCTGAGTCCAATAAAGGACAAGACCTTTATAGACTAAAACCAAAAAAAAAAAAAAAAAAAAATTAAACACATGTCGTTTGCAGCAAGATGGATGGAGCTGGAAAAGATCATGCTTAGTGAAAGAAGCCTGAAAAAAAAAAAAAAAAAAAAAATTAAGTCATTAAGTTGTGGGGTGGTTTATTACAAAACAATAAATAAGTGAAACATTCTGTTCCATCTTTTCCTCAGAGTGCTTTCTATTCTTTTTGAAGACTTTACTAATGATCATTCAGAAAATGTTACTCTATGATTAATGTCATGCATTTTGTATTGTTCTTAACTATCTCACTTATAAACTGCCTGACTTCTAGAATCTAATAGCACAACTTTTTATTCTGTACTTCCTAAAAGTCAAAGTTATAACCTTCTTAAGATAAATAGATTTTAAAATGAAAATTTTCAAGTGCTAATGCATTTATAACTTTTAGAGAAATTTTTAATATCTCGCTGAAAAATAACATATTTCCTTAGGAAAAAAAAAAAAAAAAGCCCCAATGCTCCTGACAGCAGCTAGCAGCTGCCTTTGAATGCTTCTTGCACATCAGGCATTGTGGCTAGCCCTTCATACTTTATCTAATTTCAAGTTAGCAACCTGAGCTAAAAACTGCATTTTAAAAACAGGGATAATCACCAGTCTAAAACTTGGAGGTAATTAAATAAGTTGCCAAATGCACAAAGTTTTTACCTTGGCAGTTGCCAATCCTATACTGAAAATACCAGAAATTCAAGGCCTAACAACAACCAAAATGAATCTTCATTAACAATGAAGACTGAAGCCTGGAAGGGGGTGATATGTTTAAGACCACAAGGAGGCTGATTCAGTACTACTCTAAAGAATTGTCAGGCTCTCCTTAATTCTTACACAAATGGCAAAGTGGTATTTAACAGGAAAGCATATTTAAAGGAAAGGAAGGATATGATTTCATGCCTGAGAAACGTATGCCACATTCAGGCAAAACAAACAGTACAAAACTGCAGCATGTATAACTAAAGCTGACCCACACCTATTCATTTAGGGCATGAGACTTGAAAAAATGAAATGTATTTTAGTTCCTTTTATAACTGAATCTATCACAAAAATACACAACTTACTCCAGCTGTAACCAAACTCATCCTCTTTGTCGACATCTTCTGAGATTTCACTTACAGACGACTGTGCATGATGACTGTTCATTTCTGCAAATTCTGAGGGAGGGGGCAGAGGCACACTGCACAGTGGAGCCTTTCCTGGCTCTGATTCTGACTGACTGGGTACCTGTGCGAACAAAGAGAATGCAGTGGGTATGCACAATCATAGGGAGAAAACTGTAAGGGAAAATATGAGCATAATGTCAAAACCAGGCACTGACTTTATAATATCTGACACATAAAAAGCTTGTGATGTGTGTGTGTGTGTGTGTGTGTGTGTGTACAGTATGGTAATAGGATGATAGGATTCAGGTATGTTTAAATATACTAAACAAATCAGTATGTTCATAAGAAATTCCATTCATTGAAATCCAATAATTAAATCAGAATTATTTAATAAAAAGGCCTAAATGACTTATATACAGATTTTCCCTATGGGAAAAAAATTCAAAATTTTCAGACATGTATAAGGACTGGGAAAGATTTGGGGGGTCTAGAAAAGTCTCACAAGAAGCTAGAAAAAAATTAGCAGGAGTAAAAAGATCAAGACATTCAAAGCTTGTTACTGAGAATAAATATAAACAGTTTTTTATTGCTACCTGAATCCTCTTTCCAAAGGACTCTTTCTACCTATCCTTGAAAATTTGCATTCTACATGCAGGTTCATCTAAAAGGGGGGCCAGTTTGTTAGCACAAAGCACACATTCAGACCTATGGTTCTGAGGGACAATAATCATTCCCTTGACATGGCAGCTCACAGGTAAGTGAGAAAACATGGGAGAATAACTCATATACACCAAAGAGGGGCAGACTTGTTGTCATTTAAGGATACAGGTTGTTTAAAAAAATCTTCATATCATCAAGTTCTTATACATAGATCAAACAGAAAATACAAGAATTTGAGAAGTTCTTAAGTCGTTGAATTTGTGTTATTCACTTTGAAGATAATCTGAAGATATGAGAAGTGAACAATTTTATTCACAATCACACTGTGGTAGGTTTCTGTTTGCTTACTATAAATGTGCCTCCCATTATACCATGTTGTCTCCACCCAGTTTCCACATAAGAGTAGGGATAATCAGCTAAAGTTCCTACCCTGCTGTAAAGCTGCCCCTGTCACCTTGACTCTACGTTCTCTCTAGCCTTCTTTTACATTTTTTCTATACTGAAATTCCTCTGATAAACTTAATTTATATGTGTATACCTGAAAATATGGCATAAAAATGCTTCTTCTAGAAGAACACACTAAATAATAGACATGCAGACACAAAAGGATTGGTATCAAGAATAAAAATGCCTAACATACTTAATACAAAATATATCTAATATAAAATTATTTGGCAATAAATGCAAACTTTGATGATTCAGAAATGACTTCAAGATTCTAACCTAATCTTAGCTGTTCTAATAAATATGTTACTATTTTCTAGTAAAGCACAGAACTAATTGGTAAGTTTTATAGACGAAAGGTTTTCAAATTACGGAATCTGCAGTGTTAAACTTTTTGGTTTATGTACCATTGTCCAGTCAAAAATGCAAACAAGTGCTACAACTCCACATGCTGTGCCATAAAACTCTCAAATTAACAACGTATGTTAATGAAACAGAACCAATGATTTGATCAAATTGTTTCATTAAACTAAGGTGGGGAACACCTTAATTTAGAATTTCTCTTGTTACAATAAAAAAAAGTATCTGAAATAATTAAAATAGAAAGCATGAATTAAGACGAATGCATTTTAATAGTAACACAAATCTAATTTAAATATACTGTATGTTTTATTAAATTTCTAACAAATTTTATATATCTTATTGCACAGCATTATGAACTGTTATTTCCCTTAAAAAAAAAAATAGATAAACCCTGGGCCTTCCCTGGTGGTGCAGCGTGTTAAGCACAGCACTAAGAAGCTAAAACCACTTTAACATGGGTCTGACCCCTGCCCTGGAGGTGTTCCACATGGCAGCAGACCTCTCCTGACCTGCCCACTGCTGCCTTCAGCAGTGTACTTCATCAGTTGGCCTGTTCTGCTCACCACTCTATCTGTGGTGAAGCCTCTCACCATCCCTGCACCTCTGGCCTGTACCCCAGTTCTGTATGAATAAATAAATCTTTAAAAATAATAAACCCTGAATATATATATATATATATATTCAGGAGTCAGCTAAGGTACAATTTTCATGCAGTGAGTAAGCTAGAACGGTGGCCGGACGGACATAAGTGACTAAATGGAAACTAACACAACCTGCACTAGCCAAAGGGGCAAGTACTACCCTGAAATTCTCCTCCTCACTGGGATCATGAGTTTGACTTACTGTTTAATCTTCTTAAAGTTTATTAGTAAAAATTTAACAAAGATTGTGTAGCTTTACTGGGAAAAATATAAAGTGCACTTGAAATCACTCCATGCCATGTATGCACACATAAGATCCACACACAGCACACTACTGCACACCTTTTGCTAATGAAAATGTCACACTAACACAAACCTTAAATGGTGTAGGGGCAAAAGGGTTAGTTGGAGAACAATGGAAGAGAACTCTACTTGAATTCTGTAATTCCTACAGGAACAAAAAACATTCCTTTAGATACAGAATCCTTAACCATCCATATTACAGTAACATGAAATCCAGTGAATATCCATAAAATGCTTCCTGAAACTGTAGATAGTTTTCTTCCTTTTCATGGTCAAATAATAGCATATAAATTCTCCTAAATTTTTCTTAGAATTTTGAATGTGATTTCATCAGAATAGGAGATTATTCAAGTATAGATTTACAAGCACTGAATCAGTTATATATTCCTGTTTTAGGGACTCAAAAGAACACACTTCATGAATATTCAACAGATTCCTACACATATATAATTATTTGTAGAGTGATTTAACTCACAAAAAAAAATAAGGAACACTTTGTATAAGTCTGAGGACTTAAAGTAATATAAGGTTATAAAGAAATCATGTGTGAAAGCAATTCATACATTTAGCAATAAAAATATCAGAAAATTTACACACCAAAATACAGAAAAGGCACTGGGCTCACAATTTTCCCTTACTCTTCAGAAGAGCCATCTAATTTTAGCTATAAAAATGAAAATGCTCTGGCAAGATAACATGTTAAAGGAAGGATCTGCATGCCTGTTTCAAACACAGTTGTTTTTTTCTGCCCACATTTAGTAAACAGTGAACTGGGACAAAGGCACAGCAGTAACACATAACAAAACAGTTTTACAAAAGGCAATGTCAAGACAATGGGCATTATCCAACCTTGTCAGCCTTGTACGGTAGAGAGTCAGCAAATGGGTTAGTGCTGCTGAAGTTGAACTTAGAGTAAAGGTTGTGCGGCAAGGAAGGCAAAAGGGATTTCTAAAAGGAAACATAAGAGGTGCTGAGCCCAAAACAAAAGTATTATTAACTCAGTTTTAAGAACAAAGTACTTACTGATTTTAAATAACTATGTAAAACTTGATTCTGTTAGATCTAGTAATTGGTATCATAAAATTCTAAAACTAAACATTTACCTCTAGTGATAAGAATTTATACCTGAATCTAAATGTGACCACAAACTACATAACAAATGAGTTTGTTCAGGCCCTCCATAGTGGTGCAATGTGTAAGGGTTAAAGCACAGCACTGTGAAGCTAGAGGCAGCTGCTTCAGTGAGAGCTTGATCCCCACCCCAGAGGTGATCCACTTGGCACAGCAGAGTTCTCCTGAGCCCACCATTGCTCCCTTCAGCAGTGCACCCGGTCAATCTGCCTGCTCTGCTCCCCACTCTGGTGAATCCTCACACAACCCCTGCACCAGTTCTCTATGCATAAATAATAAATAAATGTAAAAAAAAAAAAAAGGGAGAAATGAATCTGTTCAAACTGATCACAAGCCTGAAAACTGTATTTTTCACCGAATGTTTTGAGTACTAGAGTACTATATGTATTTCAACAACTTTATATCTCAATATATGTTCCATGCATTATCAATAAACATGATTCAAAATAAAGTCATAAACTATTTATTTACATTTAAAAGTAAATACTTTTCATTTTTATAAATCAAGAATCTATCTGTTCAAAACTGCAAAGTATTTATCTACTAGCTCACTGGTAACATTCATCATTCTTTTAACTTGTTTTCCAGTAAGGAAAGTATTCACTTTGAATACATGTGAAGGTTCCTTCAGGTAACAGTTTTGTTTTTTCATAAGTATATCTGGTTTATTGAATTATATCAAAAGTAGTTTTTAACTTAAAAAATGATCCAGCGGCCCTCCCTGGTGGCGCAGCAGATTAAAGCACTGCACTGAGAAGCTAAAGCCACTTCCCCAGAGTTCGATTCCCACCTGCCCAGGAGGTGACCACATGGCGTGGCAGACCTCTCCTGACCCACCCGCTGCTCCCCTCAGCAGTGTACTTGGTAGATCTGCCTGTTCTGCTCCCCACTCTGTCTCTGGTGAAGCCTCTCTCCTGAGCCTCTGGCCTGTACCCCAGTTCTGTATGAACAAATAAATAAATCTTAAAAAAAAAAAAAAAAACCAACAAATTAAAAAAAAAAAAAAACACTGTACATTAGTGTTTTCTATTTCTGCCCATTTATTGTAGGGGGCAGAGATTTATTATTGGTGAATTTATGAGGCTTTGGATAATATCTGAAGTCCTTTCTTAGTGTATTTCTCATAGGTTTTGTAGCGTACTTTGAACAAAGACTGCTGGAGAGTTGGACTAAAGAAACGATAACTGCCAGATAAAATTAGTCATTTTCATAGTTAAAAAAGTAATTTCCTTAACACAATAAAGTCTCCTTTTCATACACACTATCTTTTCCTTTTATTGATTACAATTCTTCAGGAGTTGTAGGCATTTAAAATTTGGTTCCGATTGAATGTTTGTGTTATTTCTCTCTATAAAAAAGTCCTGGGACCCTCCCTGGTGGCACAGCAGGTTAAAGCACAGCACTGAGAACCTAAAGCCACTCAAGCATGAGTTCAATGTCCGCCCCAGAGGTGACCCACATTGTACGGCAGACCTTGCCTGACCCGCCTGCTGCTCCCCTCAGCAGTGTAGTTCGTCAGTCGGCCTGTTGTGCTCCCCACTCTGTCTCTGGTGAATTCTCTCACCACTTCTGTACCTCTGGCCTATACCACAGCTCTGTATGCATAAATAAAAAAAGTCCTACTGGCAAATACCAAGAAAAGGGAGAGGTTGTCATGTGACATTACCCTGTATGGGAGACCACTCTGGAAGGCCTCTTTCCTCACTCAGTGTGCCTGTACTAAAGTTTATGCTACATTACCCTTTCAATCTGCTCTTCCTGCAATGTTTTTCCTACAAAGGGAAGACAGGAAAAAGAAATAGGAAGAATGACATTTCTGTTAATTTCAATTTTCTTTCTGCTTCAATTTAAAATGTCAAATCTTGCTTTACAAAAGTGAAGATCAAAATGTCAAGAAATATGCCTATTTATTAAAGTGGAAGAAATCACTCAGCAGAGATTAAATACATGTCCTGGGCAAAATAACTCAGTGCTAAGGAAGGTGAAGAATATTTCTGATTCTTACACATGGAATATTTAGGTTTTCTGCTTCCATCATATGTAATAATATGAAACAATACTATAAATGAAATATTTATGAAACACTAGTTTTTCATTTTCCTTTACACTTTGTTCTTCTTTTTTAATTTGCAGCTCTTAAAGGGATTAGAATTTGGTCCGAATGGTAGTGTATGGGAGTGCAGCATGAGCATAGCAAATGAAGTGGTAGATCACCACATAGTGTTAAGGAAAGTTTTATAGAAAGTCTGTATTTCTCATTCTAAAAATCAGAGGAAATACTTTTTACAGTCTTAAGAGAAGATCAAAATAGAAATGCTATTAATTGAGAAGTACAGAGAAGACAAAGTATTCTCTGGTCCATATTAATTGGGCCTACCCTTTAATTGACAACATGATCAGAATAAATTCTTGAGAGCATCATACTGGTGTAATTATCAAGGCTAGTTCTGGAAGCTCTGAGTTTTTGAAGGCCTAAGAGCCAAAAGGACTAAATGACTTTTTAGTCTGCATTATGATTTTCTAGAACTCCTGTGATATCCACAAATAAAACATTTACTCTTAATAAACTATGTACTTATGACTTTTTTTTCCTATGTAGGTTACTGTGGACATGAATATTTCCATAGTTATGTAAAAAGACAACTAAGTCTATCTCATTTTCAATGCAAAATTAATTGTACTTTCCCAAAGCAAAATGTAACATGTAGACTAAGGAAAATATATTTTCTATAACCATCTTAGTTTTTTGGCTAAATTTCTGTAACAAAAATAAATAAATAAAACGATTAACAAAGTAAAGCATGTATACTTATTTAAGTTTTATGTGACATGAAAGCCGTCATAAGGAAATGGACACCTGAAATCAATGATATAAACCAGTGTTTTTACATAAGATTTGCTGAAGTGGAAAGCTAAACACTTGACAAAATATAGACAGTTGAAGAATAGGATTCTTTTTTTTAAAGATTTATTTATTTATGCATAAAGAACTCGGGTACAGACCAGAGGTGCAGGGGTGGTGAGAGGATTCACCAGAGACAGAGCGGGGTACAGAACAGGCAGATCGGTGAAGTACACTGCTGAGGGGAGCAGCGGGCGGGCCAGGAGAGGTCTACCACGCCATGTGGTCACCTCCGGGGCAGGCGGGAATCGAACTCATGCGGAAGCGGCTCTAGATTCTCAGTGCTGTGCTTCAACCCGCTGTGCCACCAGGGAGGGCCAGGATAGGATTCTTTAAGAAGCTTAAAACAAGCTTTCGCAGAACATGTCACTGTGGCATGTGGACTATTTTGAGTTAAGGTCAACTGAGGACTCAAGAAAACCTTTACCACTTCCCCTTCCACATAATATGAGAGCCCCTCTTCTCTCCTTGAAGACCCAGTCAGATCCCTAGTCCATTCCTTTGCTCAGGAGACATACCCTTAATTTTATCCTATGTGCCTTAAAATCTACATCTTTCCGGCCCTCCCTGGTGGCGCAGCGGGTTAAAGCACAACACTGAGAATCTAAAGCTGCTTCCCCATGAGTTCTCTGTCTCTGGTGAAGACTCTCACCGCCCCTGAGCCTCTGGCCTGTACCCCAGTTCTGTACTCTGTCTCTGGTGAAGACTCTCACCGCCCCTGAGCCTCTGGCCTGTACCCCAGTTCTGTATGCACAAATAAATAAATCTTAAAAAAAAAATCTACATCCTTCCAAATTTTCCACACACATTAATTAAACTTCTTTTCTCCCACTCACCTGTCTGATGTTAACTGAATTGATAGACCAGTCCGAGTAGAAGAGGTAAGGGGAAATTTTCTCTACACCTCCAAACTAAAGACATTGAACTGGGGGAAATCTAGCAAGATTTAGATTGTTCTCCATATCCCTCTATCTGTGGAAATGAGGATGTTTCTTTCCCACAGGTATGAGAGGAGAAACTCTTACATGAGTCTTATGAGCTGCTTCAGAGAAGAGAGAGGTCAAAGTCCCTTTAGGGCTCTCCATTTCTCAAATTATTTTTTCTTAAAATACTGTATATGCAAAGTGGCTTTCCTAAACCCTGTCAGTTAAAACTTTTCTAGTCATGTCATTGTAAGCAAGATTTATACAGTGGTAAATAAGTGCATTAAAATCTGGTATTGGGCAGTCCCTGGTGGCGGACAGTTTAGGGTGCAGCACTGTAAGCTAGCAGTAACTGCTTCAGTCAGAATTCGATCATTGGCCCCAGGGTGCTCCACATGGCACAGCAGACCTCTCTGGTCTTGCCAGTTGATCCTTCAGCAGTGTATTTCGTTGATCTGCCTGTCCTGCTCCCCACTCTGTCTCTAGTAAATCCTTCCACCATCCCTGCATCGCTGGGCCTGTACCCAAGTTCCGTATGCATAAATAAGTAAATAAATATTTTTTAAAAAGAAAAATGAAAATTCATAATAAAAAAAATCAGTCATAACTATGCCTCACACAGTAAAACAGCATTATTTTGTAGGTGTATGAGAAAATATATCCTGACTCATCAGAAAACATGACTGGCACTGCAAAGAATGTTGTAGTTTATTAAATGTAATATTGAAAACCTATTCAGGGGCCCTCCGATCCCCACACTCCCCGGAGTTGATCCACATGGCGCGGCAGATCTCTCCTAGCCTGCCCGCTGCTCCCCTCAGCATTGTACTTCGTAGATATGTCTGTTCTGCTCCCCACTCTGTCTCTGGTGAAGCCTCTCACCACACCACACCTCTGGCCTGTACTCCGGTTCTGTATGAATAAATAAATCTTAAAAAAAAAAAAGGAAGAAAACCTTATTCTGCAAATTACAGTATTGTCCTAGATGATATAAAATAAAGCAAAAAGTACTCCACTCACACACGCAAGAAGTTTTCTTTTAAACAGCCATTTATCACCATTATCATGACTATGTTTAAAGCAATAAATGAAAACAAAAGTAGAAAGATTTGCAGTTATATATAACAAACTGAATAGAATCTGAAAAGAATGCACTATGATGTAGCTTTGCTGTTTAGCATATTTTCTCATCTGCATGAGCAATTATTAGTTAACAATAAAAAAGTGAATGATTAAATGCTACTGATGTGATGGTAACTATTTACACTAAGAACTTGTAACTTCATTTCAGATAGTGAATCAAACCAGAGCACACCTATCTTGACAACAAAAGAAAGAACTAGTGGGTTGGACAAATCTGGTTTCTCTGTACTCCACTGACATTCTTTTACTGATCTCATTTACAGAACTAGTTGTTGCTATTTTCTTCCATTATTTTGAGTATCAATATAATCAAATCTTACTTTAAAAGCTAAAATATGTGTGCTATGCATAAAATTACTTTTTGTTTGTTTGTTTTAGTTGTTTTAACTGCCCTCAACCATGAAAACATTTTCCTTTTAAGGAAACCAACCCTATAAGCTGCTAACCAAGCACTACAAAGGGAATCAATATAACAGCGTCTCTTAAATTTAAAAGCACAATCAATGTCGGTTTCCGGAAATTTAAGAAACATCTTAAGTGTTATATAAATTTCATTAAATGTATAAGTTTCTGAAGAACTTTCCAAGGGATGTGGCCCAAATATAGTTAAGAACTGCTACATATGAAAATAGTGTTTTCCAACAAGACAAAAAAAACTAAATAGCTTTTAGTTTGTCATAAATTTTTCATCACTAGTGATATTAAGGCTATCAAATACACAAAGCACACTTAGTATATTTTATATAAAAATATGCATTAAATATAATTATACCTCCTAAAATATTTTTTCTTTTTATGGTTTTTGGAAGAGTTTATTTGAAATTTTGAAATTTTAAGAGAGTAAGAAAGTAAATAATTTATAGCTTAACAAACAAGTTAGAAAATCCTTATTTTTCCTTTTTTATTATATATATTTTTCCACATCATTCTTCATTTTGTACACTTTTTTTTTTAATCTCTGTTGCAATCCCCATAGATTTTCCACCACCACTTCACCCATGTTCCGTCACCATAGTCCCATGTGCTCTTCCACCCCAATTTTGATGCTGTTCCCCGTTCCTCCCCTCTAAAATGATCCAGTAATTCCACTCCTAGGTATCTACACAAAGGACACAAAAACACTAATTCAAAAGGACACCTGCACCCCTGTGTTTACTGCTGCCCTATTCATAATAGGAAAGATATGGAATCAACCCAAATATCCAAAAAATAGATGAATGGATCAAGAAGATGTGGTACATTAATAAATAAATAAATGAATGAATGAATGAAGGAATATTGCACAGCAATCAAAAAAGATAAACTCATGCCACTTGTGGCAACATGGATGGAGCTGGAAAGGGTCATGCTTAGTGAAATAAGACAGAAAGAAAAAGTAAAATACTGGGTGATTTCACTCATAGCAAGAGTTTAAGGGAGCAGGGAAATATACATATACACATAGTAATTGTAATAAAATAAAAATGAACATTAGTTAACAACTATAAACCAGAGACATTCTAAAATATTTCTTTAAGCCATTTACTTGTCATGACTAATGGTACTGTACAGTTTTCTGTACAGTAAGGACTGTATAAGATGAAGAGCTATACAGTGTTTATGGTTGGAAAACAGCAATCATGAAATCACTAGTACACAAGCAAGAGTTTAAATAAAATCTGCTGTGTGAAAATTTAATGTCCAATGGGATAGACAAGTATATTAAAGATTATTCAAAGGTGGTCATAGGATCACATAACCTTGGAATTCTAGCTAGAGACTGCATTTACAAAGGAAATATAAATAATCTCTTAGGCTTGATAGGGACTCCGGGAGAGATCAGTGAATACTAACCTAATTCCCCTTAGCCAATAAAATATTCTATGATTATAATAAACACTAGTAATTATCCATATATGGCTATCAAAGAATTATATACATCTGTGTATTTTTAACAGATTTCATGTACATATTGAACATAGTGATTTTCAGGATAACTGAGTTTTTAAAACTAAGCAAAACCAATTTTTATCAGTCTTCTGAGATTTAAAGACTCGGTATCTTTTTTCCATATAGACAACTTGGCCCTTGATAATTAGATTCCAAGTTGAACACTGGATACGCCTACCTTGCTCTTTTTGTTCGCTTACCCTTGGTCTGTTTATAATGCTCTGTACCATAAAGACTACGGGGTTGCCTGCTTTCCGAATGGCTTCCACAGCTTGTTCATGGCTTGCATCTCTGAGGTCCATTCCATCCACCTGCAATGGAAGGCCTCAGCTTAACATTTCAAGAAGCTATAGAACAACATAATAATTGTGAATCTGCAGTTTTGAGGACCCTGTGTGAGGTCCCTGGAAAATGTACTTCAGAATATAAAATAATTGAGTCCACTTATGAGGCTCTAGAAATGTAATCTGTTCATCAGATCTGTAATCCTTTACTTTAGACACAGATTTTTGCCTCCCATAACCAACTGAAATAACAATCAATTGGCATGAAGGCACTTCTTTAGTTTTCCATATTCTATTCAGTTTTCCCTTTAAATTAATAATTCAGCATCATTAAATAAATTATATGAGGGAACTATCTAGCAGTATTTTACTGAGATGAGTGTCACTATAAAAATTTTCCAACTTATTACAGAATGGTTTGAGACGTAGGTAGGTAATGCTCTGTGTATTGCTCTCCTTTTGGGTAAGTTGAAAATTAAAAACAAAATCATGATATTGACAAAATTCAGGGTTTTTATGGTAAGATTAGTTTTATAAAATAATTTTGACAGTAAAGATGACAGGAACTGAAAGCCAAGAAATGTGCTTGTTTGTTAATAATTCTCATAGAACAACTAGAAAATAAAAGTTATTTGTAACTTTATATTGACCACAGATTGCCAGGTTAGTTATGAATCAGAACGGAAAATAGTTTGAAAGTCCAAATGTTAATCCTGCCAGAAAACCAGAAGATGTTATTATTATGTCCAATTACAATATGGTATGTACAACAAAACTGCAAAATCTGTGAGGACACAATTCTGGAAAAGAACATTATTAGATCTCTGAACCTTTAAAGGAATGATATACATTTAACTGAAATATCACTAGGTTGATATATGGATGATAGAATATCTCTTTCAGTACATATTAAAAATTTCTCCTATTTTTTATAGAGTTTATTTCCATGTCTGTTACTTCTACATTAATGAGAAAATTAAACAACTTTACTCAAGTCCAAAGAATGTTAAACTTAACATGGAATCCTTTGCAGGTCTCTATTCATCTAATCTATGTTTTTAGAAATAGGGGTATGCTTTAAAATTTCCAGTATAATAGAATCCTAAGGCTTTCTTATTTACTAAAAAGGCCATAAGAGGTGTTAACCTATACCTTCAAATCACACAGTGTTATAAGTTAACACTATCTCAAAAAATAATACAGGAAAAAATGTCCCTGCACATAATACTCAACAAACCATTCCTAGAGGACATGCAGTATTTAACACTCACATCCACACACACACACACACACATACACACACAAATCCCAGTTTTTTTTTATCTGAAAGGAATGTTTTAGCTACTTTAAAACATTTAAACTTCTTGTGAAAACAACGATCAATTCTCTATAGAAATAATTCTAAATATTTCTTATTTTTCTACAAGGTCAAAGACATTTAATAGGGAAGTAAAATAAAGCAAATTGCATTATGCAAATCTAAAGTTAGATATGTTAGATTGTACTATAGAGTATTGTGCAAAGAGGCTAAATTATAATCTAATGATAGGTAAGGATATAAAAAAAAGAGAGAAATCTCATTATTTTTCTTATAAATAAACACAAGGAAAAATAACAGCTGTGGCCCTTGCTTTTTCTCAAGCCTCACTCTTTTTCCTTCTTTAATTCTCAGGGAAAATAAAATCAATATAAGAATAAATAAGTACCCATAATATTCATTTTAAAATTATGGTTGAAGTGCTATAATATTCCTCTGCAAAGTTAAGTTATTTTAATGTGCATGTCATATAGATTTAGAAAATGGAAAACAATTATTTATATAAAGTAAAATATAATGGACATTATAGTAATAAAACAATCAGTTTTCATTTGCAAGGTTTCTCAGTCTAATCTATGAATCCTGTCAACTCTAAAAGGGGTCAGATACCCTTTCTTTCACCCGCTTAACTAAAACTCTTCTCTGTCCTGGTCAAACAATTTATCACACTGCTCTGAAGTGACCTGATTGCTTGTCAAGTCTGCCCCACTTGACAGGCAGACATGGTGCCTTATTCACTGTGGGAAGCCTGGAGCCTGTTATAGCACAGGCTGCTCCAGGAATACTTGTGTAAATAAGAGTGACTTAAGAAATAAAAGTCTATTTAAACCATTAAATTTTGCTTTGAATTTAGGGTTTAGTGACATTTAGCTAAACACTTTTCTCTTGTTTATAACGAAGAACATGCAAGTATATAAACATACATGTGCACAAGGCATATGCATGTGCACGTGCACACACACACACACACACACACACAGAGTACTTAGTAATGAACGGGCACAGCACTGAGGAAGAAAATCTGAATTCTGATGATGGGATAAGTATTTATATGATAGTTATTCAGGGTCTTAGCATAAAAGATTTTACCAAAAACTTCATTTGGAAATATTCTCTCCAATAAGGTTTATCTAAAATGAAATAAGAATTTCTTGAAATTAAATCTAAGTAGAGAACTCAACCATGTTCTTTACATATGTTGTGCATTATATTTCAAAATAATTCAAATTTTCTCTCAGAAAAAAATTACTTTCACACAGATCAGTCTCTAATTCAGGATATATAATCTATCACCAAATAATGAAGGGAAAATTTATAAATGAAATGAGATAAATACAAAAGAAATGCTTTAACCATAAATGCTCTTATACAATTATATTGGGTTGAGTAACTAGTACAGTGACATCGATTCCCTTGGTAAAGAGAATGAAACAAGTGACGAATTTCAGCACAGAAAGTTTGCAGGAGGGTACCTCTACTATTCTATCTCCAGGTTTCAAAGTTCCATTTTTGCCAGCTGGACTATCTTCAAGAACATGTTTGATGAAAATGCCCCTCATCACTTCACCATTGCTTAGACGACTTCCCATCCCTCTTCCACCAACAATGCTGATGCCCAAAGACTTGCTTGGTTCTCGCCAAAGTTCAACCCTATAAAACATTTTTAAAAAGAAAAAAACTTTTAAGAAAATGTGGAGCAGAGCTTCATGATACTACATCTGGCAGTGATTTCTTGAATATGACATCAAAGACACAAACGTCTGAAATAGAAAAACTGAACTTTAATAAAATGTAAAAAGTTTACTCGTAAGAGGTACTATCCATAGAGCAGAATATCATCTTACAGAATGGGAAAAATATTTGAAAATCATGTATCAGTTAAGGAACTGGTACCTAGAATATTTTGTGAACCCCAAGAGCTCAGCAACAAAAAAATAAACAACTCAATTAAAAATGGGTAAGGGGGCTCTCAAATGGATTAAAGCACCACATTGTGAAGCTCTATGAAGCCACTGCAGCATGAGTTGGATCCCTGGCTAGGGAGCTGACCCACATGGCGTGGCAGACCTCTTCTGACTTGCTGCTGCTCCCCTCAGCAGTGTGCTTTATTGATCTGCCTGTTCTGCTCCCCACTCTGTCTCTGGTGAAACCTCTCACCCATCACACCTCTGGCCTGTACCCCAGTCCTGTAAACATATATAAATAAATCTTTAAAAAAAATGGGTAAAGGGATTAAATGAAGATTTCCTGAATGAAGATAGCCCAGAAGTACATGCAAAAATGTTCAACTTCACTATTAAAGATGTGCAAATCAAAATCACAATGAGCTAGCACCTTTTACCCATTAGGATGTTTACATTAAAAAAAAAAAAATCCTTAAGAGGAAGTAAAGGATGGTGAGGAGAAAAATGGAGAAAGTGCAGAGAAATTGGAATCCTTATATACTACTCTGGTGTCACGTAAAATGCTGCAAGTGCTATGAAAATTAGCATGGAAGTTTCTCAAATAATTAAAAGTAGAATTACCATTATAATCCTGCAATTTAATTTTCGGGTATACATCCCAAAGAATTCAAAGTGAAGTCTTGAAAATAAATGAGAACAGCGATGCTTATTAAAATATTCAAAACAGTAAAAACGCAGAAGAAACCTAAGTCCATGAACAGATGAATGTAGGAACAAAATGCTATATGTGTACAAAGAAATCTTATTTGGCCTCAAAAAAAAAAGGAAATTACACCCATTAAATATTTTACAACATAGATTGACTTTGAGAAACTAACGGTAGGTGAAGTCAGCAAAATGAAATACAGGACAAACACTCTATTTCTCCACTTAGATGATATACCTAGAGCAAGCAAATTCATAATAGGAGAACAGTAGTTGCTAGAAAGTATGAGAGAGTTTGAGGAATTACTATTTAATGGGTGTAATTTTAGTTCTGCCAGGCAAAAAAAGGTTCCAGAGTTGGAAGACAATGATGTTAGCAGTGAAAACATCTAAGGCTAATGATTAGCACACTTAATGATTTAAATCATTAAATCATAAATTTTTCATTTAATGGGTTATGTTACTATATAGGTTCATTTCTGCTATACATTTTGCTCAATTTATTAGTTTTACCAGTATTAAACAAATCATTTAAAATGAATTATGTGTTTTCATATAGTCTGACACATACAAAAGTAATTCTGAACCTAACTGATTATAAGTAAATACTGGACTTATATATACTTCAGGCTTGGGCATGGAAAAATTAACGTAAATGTACCATTTGCCAAGAGCTCTAATACTACAGACATTAAGTAACCAACAATTCAGCAATCCAAAATAGGTGGTAGCTACTAAGATTAGCAACCAAAAATCAAGAGAAGAACATTTCTGTACAAATTGTGTCAAAAACTTTCCTTTGTATAAATCTTCCTTCTAAGGCAGATCTGGCAGTTAACACAGAGGGCACAGTGAGGGCAGCTGACACAATCCTATTATTATTGTTCTGCTATTACTCATCTATAGCTTCTACTTTCCACTTTCACTCCAGCTACCACATCATCTTCTTGCTGTTCCCACCTTGGGCCCACCTTGGGTCTTGGCAGTTGTTACTTCTGCCTTATATGCACTTCCTTGACCCATGAAATAAACACACACATTTATATATATTAATTGTAAATAGTACTATAAGAGCTATGAATAAATTAAATGTGTCTTATGAAAAAGGTTGGAATATAAGAAGGTGGTCTGCAGGTGATAGCTGAGACACAGGAACAGCTCAGGGAACTCAAAGACAGAAATAACAAGCTGAGATCTCTTCATGAAACTGCAATCTGTTCTATGCAATAGAAGGAGATACTTGATGTTGTTAATTAAACAGGAGACAAAAGTACGAGCAACACATGTCATCAATGTTGAAATCTGAGATGCTCCCAGAGGGGAAGAAAGGCTGGAGTTAAGACTGCTGTGAAATCTGGAAATAAGGTATGTCTGGGAATCGAGAATAACACAGATGGAAGAGACAGAGAGCTGATTAGGTGGAAAAAGATGATGAGAAACATCCTTACCTTGGTCAGCAATTTTTTTCTTTATTGGAAATCTTAATCATAGAGACTATTTCTTTTGAAAGGATCTCACTATGATCTTGATCTTATGAAATTTGTGTGAATACTTTAATCAAAATCATTTTCTTCATTCTAGGAATTCTGTGAAAGATGAGGCCAAATGCTCTTTGTTTCTTAAAGCAGTTCCTCAGGTAAAATGGTAATGTCAGTAAATTTATCTACTGAATGTAAATAACTGTCCAGAATACATAGGTGGGATTCCTCAACCCTTGTCTGGCAAGTGGGGAAAGGAAATGAAAGAATAATAGAAAATGTCTTGTAGAATTCCTTGCAATTGGTTTCAGTTACTAGTAAGTCTTATGATTTCTTCAATACTAAAAAGATCAGCATTAATCACTTAAAACAAAACCCTTAAATTCTTACCTTGTGGTCAACATTTTACCCTGAGTAAGTTCCAAGTACTTTAATGTTCATAACATTCCCATCCCTATGAACTGGATAGTCTTGCTAGCTCCATTTTTATAAGAGGATCAGAAGCACTAAGAAGTTAGATACAGACAGCAGTGTTTTCAAATACATTCTCTAGGAAAAAAAAAACCTCCGTAATTCCCTAAAATACTAGAGAAGATAACAAAGACAAAGTTTATAAAATGACCAACATGTTAAGGAATAAAACTCATTAGTCATTGAACAGAACACAAATGACATTCCATAGAGGGGAAGGACCTACAAAAGGTAACTTTTAAGGAACATGCTCATTTCAGGATTAGTTTTGTGATAAGATGGCAGCCTTTCTTGGGGCCTGTACATGTGTTTCAAAGAATGGAATTCAGAAAAATAGAGGTTCAAAAAAAAACACAGATCTGAACTCCCGGCTGAATGAGATGTGAAACAAATTCAAGACCTATACTTAGTTATTTTAAAATTGTATGACTATATTGGGCCCTCCCTGGTGGTGCAGCGGGTTAAAGCACAGCACTGAGAATCTAAAGCCGCTTCTGCATGAGTTCTATCCCCGCCTGCCCCGGAGGAGTCCACATGGCGAGGCAGACCTCTCCTGACCCGCCCACTGCTCCCCTCAGCAGTGTACCTCGTCGATCTGCCTGTTCTGTTCCCCACTCTGTCTCTGGTGAAGCCTCTCACCGCCCCTGAGCCTCTGGCCTGTACCCCAGTTCTGTATGCACAAATAAATAAATCTTTAAAAAAAAAAAAATTGTATGACTATAACTTACTTCATCTCTCCTATATTTTCCACAACTGTGAAATGGAATTAATAAGAATGTATACCAGAGAGTTGCTTTGAGAATTAAATTGTGAATACACATAAAATGTAAAACAAAACTTTGTCACCTAATAAGAAAATAGTAATTTTCTTACTATCATTATAATTAGGATTATGATTAATAAGAAAAGGTGAGCAAGATATGTCAATTCAGATGACAAATCACCAGCTATATACCCCACTTACTCAATCCAATTATAACTACATTGTTTATGTAGAAAGGTTACAATCTGTATCCACAAATTTGACAAAAACATTAAAAAAAATAACCTTAAATATAATAACAAGGATATGTCTGGAAAAAGTAATTATTACATAATGGAACAGAAGTAAAAATTGCTGTGACCACCTTAAAAATACTTGACAACTTCTAATAAAGTAATTAACAAATTTACTTATGAATCAAAGTTCTACCTTTGGATACATACTCAGATATATAAGCATACAGAAGTCTCATACATATGTATAAATAAATAGCTATACTCACTGCACATAATTATATTTGCAAGTAAGTGCTAAATGTGCAAATATCAATTTGGCTATAAATTAACTGGGGTATATTCATATATTGAAGTAAATTGCAGCAGCTAAACTGACTGAACTAGATGTTAATTAAACTTAAGTGTCAACCTAATATGTCTCCAAACAAAAGAGGCTGCAAAATGATGTATAAATTATGATTTTATAAATTACAATCACACACACACACATATATTTGCTGCAGGGATGAAAGTCCCATCATATTTCAAATGTTATATATGTACCATGTTTATAACTCCTGCTCCTCATTTACTTAAATCTGTGGTTATTTTGGTACGCTTCCTCATCATTATTTATTAACTTTCTCCCAAAAGTACCTTAATTTTATAAACACCCAATTCTTTTTTATAAAGGAATTTTGTAACAAAAGCAGTGTTTAAAGCAGCCTTTTTGCTTAGTTATAAATGACAATGGCGATGATGAGTAAAAACCAGGCAATGTCTCACTAAGTATCCTCACTCTGCATCAGGCACTATGCTAAGTATTTCATATGTATTATTGATGGGAGTTCAGATGAGAAATTAGCGTTCAGTGGTTCAGTGAGTGGTGCCTTATATTTACTATGAGAAAAACTTTGGTAATTTCCCATTCAGCTTCTATACTATATTTTCTCCTCTAAGCTTTAGTCATTACCAAACTTTCAAAATAAAGTGTCTGAAATCTAGCGGGAATTAAGAAATTTCTTAGAAATTATCAAAGTTAGAATTGGCATGGTTCTTAGTAACTCCAACACCTTGCTTATTACACTGCCTTCTAAAAGCAATTTCTCCTTTCACAACACTACTAAAACTAATTAACTTATCTTTTTCCTTTCCTATTATACTGTTTCCAACAAAATTCAAATTTATCACTATGATTGCTAAATGCAAAATAACTTCATCTAATTTACTTCTGCCTCTATTTTCAAATAAGAAATTTGACATCTTATATTACGATTTTTTTCTGCCTCTATTTTCAAATAAGAAATTTGATATCTTACATTATATATATATATATATATATATATA